GGCAGAAGTGTCTCTTGCTGTATACTCGCCCCCCATTTTTCTTCTTTTGCAGCTGCATGATAACAATCTTATTTGCCTTTGGTTCGTCACTTTCCGAGTCTTGAAGAAAAGTGTTTTTGATTTTTCTTTTTCCATACTTTTTTACAGGTTTCTTCTTGACAGTTAAATCGTCAGAATCTGAGTCGACTTCATCAATTAGGGACTCTTGACTAAGCTGCACAAACAACAAATAATTTGTAATAATTCTATATAACAATTTGAAGTCATGACTTGTAGTCAGCACTTACCAGTGGTTTGTAAGCGTGCGCTTCAGTGTGCTCCTCCATGATTTCTTGCAGCCTAATGAACCACACACTTGCACCTTTTCACCTGACTTCCTCTGTTGTGCTGCTCCATGATTGGCTCCAGCCTGCTGGACTGAAATTGCCCCAGTGTGCCCCTCCCTGATATCCCGCAACCCACCACCAGGGTTCCGACACATAACACACTTTTTTCAGGAAAGTAAACCTCCAGGGGTCCTTTCCATATTTTTACAGAGACTGCATAAGGACCGTTAGAAAAGCATTACCCATTGATTATTAAGCTTGGACCAGTGGGGTCCGGTGTTCGGGCCCCACCACGTAAAACCAGTCCCCATGACGTGAGTGGAATCTCAGGTTATGGAACCCACCAGGAGTTGAGTAAGTAAGTAAGTAAGTAAGTTTTTATTTATATACCGCCTTTTCACTGCAGATCTGAGTCTCAAAGCGGTTTACAATTGTTAATTTTGGGCATTTGTATCTCACTCCACACAGAGATGGGAGGGGCCAGTACAGGAGGCACATGCCAGAACTATTGGACATATTTTTAGTGGTAGGGGAAACCGGAGTACCCGGAGGAAACCTACGCAGACACGGGGAGAACATGCAAACTCCACTCAGAAAGGCCCTGGTCCGACCGGGATTCGAACCCAGGACCTTCTTGCTGAGAGGCGAGAGTGCTATCCACTCAGCCACCGTGCCGTAGTTGAAAACAAGTACACACACACACACACACACACACACACACACACACTCACTCACTCACTCACGGAAAATCATGGCCTGTCACCATCATTGAAGATTTTTCAAACACTGCTTTTGATACTAACATTTAACTTTGATAATAAAATATTTAATGATGCAGTCAATGATTTATCCAGATATTCTTTAAATACTGTGGGCAAACGTCCCTAAACCCCAAAAGTAGTCAAGTTGCATTTCTTTTCCAAATGGACACGGCCAGACGCCTGTGGCCGCAAAAAATATATCGTAAATATGTTTTGAGCTTTTTGTCAGTGCACCTGTCTGAGTTATGTAGATTCTTATTTATTTATGCTTTCTTGTTTATATTCTGATTTAACTTGTTTGCACCGAGCGCTAAAGTAATTTCCTAGTTTGGCAATAAAAAGGATTCTGATTCTGATTCTGAGTTCTAAAACAGCTACAAAGGCTGAACCAAAACCCCCAAAGTCCCAGTTTCACGTTTGCCACTCGCCTGTTGTGACAAAGAAGAGAACATCAGATAAAGAAAACTCGGGACGCAGGGCTACGTAATGCAACGGCAGTCGAGTTTTGCTACTTGCTAGTTTGTTAGTGGAAGCTAGTACTTGTCAAGTATGCTCAGGCTAATCCCACACAGACCTGAGCCTTATGTAGAATAATGCTTCCATGCATCAAGCTGAGGCTTCGTCACAGACCGTGTTCATGTGCGCTGGGGGTTGGGTTTGGTGGAAGACAGGTGGTTTTACTCGGATGCTACAGCTCAAAGCTATCCTGAATCGTTTACTGCATCTTTAATACTCAATCTAAAGAGCCAAACCACCGCATTATTCTTTCTTTAACATATCATAGGGTCCTCAAAAATAGCAACACAAGTAGCAGCAGCGGTTGTCAAATAAATGCAGTTACAGTAAAGTGTAACAAATAAAAAACATAACAAATTACAGTAAATAAATTCAATAAAATAACAGACAAAAAAACAAAAACAAAAACAATACAAGGACAGAAACATTCGCTCACACACACACACACAGAGCTCTCAGAGGTCAGAGGTCACCCTACTCCTCAAACTAGGACAGTGAAAACCAAAGGATATAATATTTAAAAGAAAGTTCAGTAGCAGTTACAACCATTACACAGATGCCTTTGTACAGAAACTTTAAAAAGAGAAAAAGAAGTTAAAGAGCGAATAGAGGCATTAAGCTACACAAGCTGAACAACAGTAAAACCTTCTTTAAAAATATCACAAATATTTGCATTTTTGGACACACCAGAATAACAGGAAACACAACAAAAACACCTTAAATCATCCAGATTCAGAAGAGTTTGAAAATATGGCAAAATATATCCATTTATTGACATTCTAAACAGTATAGTGAGTACTGTTTAGTTTAGTTTTAATAAAGTCCTGTTATTAAAGATCCCTCAGGTGTTGATATATTCTACTCTGTCCTTCTCGCAAACAAACCCAAAGCAATGCTGTCCTCTGAAAATGATGTTTGAGAAAGAATACACCTTTTACCTGGAGGTTGACACATGCAAAATACGAACTAGAGCCATTTTCTGTTTCAAAACCTGATGAGACCAGGTTTTGTGGACCATGGATCAGCTCTGGACTAATCCGAATTCTCTTTTATATCTTTGTGGCATAAGATTTGACCAAAAGGCTTTTAAAAGATCGTTAAAACGTGTTGGTATCACGTCACCAAACTTGGAGCTAGGACTGATCACTTTAAACCAAAAGGAAGAACAAGAAAAGTTATATTTGGGAGGCAACCCATGTCTAAACCGACAAGCTTGGATTAATAACCGGAGAGAAAACAGTATCTGGTACAACAACTTGGGAAAACTGTGAAACTGGAAAAGCCGAAAACACTTCTTCTTACCAAACAGAGAGAGACTTGTGATAAACTTCAGCATTTGCACAGAAAGCCACATTATGTTTAGCAAAATAAAGCTAGCTTCTGTTAGCATCAGCTGGTTTTAACAGCGACTTTTACCGTGAATACAAACAAAGGAATTTATGTATTAGATGTACAACAAAAATACCCAAATGCATGTTGAATAAATGTAATCACAGAAAAGACAAAAAAAACGGTTTTATATGGTGCTTTTTTGGACTCTCTAAGACGCTTCACATATTCGTGTGTTTAATGAACCTGGCCTGTAGGGGGCGCATGAGCAGAGGTGGGACAGTGTTGCTCCATGTAAAACCATGTAAAGTCTGTTTTGGAGTCAGAGGCTCTCCTCCTGTGCGGTGTACGGTTGTTGGAACAGTCTTAATCGGGGACACTCAATTCTAAGGGAGTACTAACAAATATTTCTCAAAAGAGTCTTGATTTCGGGCATTTTTTTTGGAAAGAAAAAACAGAAGAAATGGCTGCGTCTCATTGGGGTGGCCTGCAGGGGGCGCTTATCTGGGAAAGCCTTGATCCACCTCGCCCGCCTCATTCCAGTGATTTTTTCTAAGTGTCCTCCTTTATATGAGACACAGTTGGAACATGAACAAACTCTGGTCTTTTTCTATTTGTGCGGTTGCTACAAACGTACACCGCACAAAAAGATGGTGTTTTGACAGCGCTTCTTCTTCTACTATATCTCTGTGTATAAACCACTTCTTCTTCTACTATATCTGTGTATAAACCTCTTCTTCTTCTACTATATCTCCGTGTATAAACCAATTCTTCTTCTACTATATCTCCGTGTATAAACCACTTCTTCTTCTACTATATCTCCGTGTATAAACCTCTTCTTCTTCTACTATATCTCCGTGTATAAACCACTTCTTCTTCTACTATATCTCCGTGTATAAACCTCTTCTTCTTCTACTATATCTCCGTGTATAAACCTCTACTTCTTCTACTATATCTCCGTGTATAAACCTCTACTTCTTCTACTATATCTCTGTGTATAAACCCGGCAGACTGCTCCTCCAGGATACGTCACGTCCTGTCCCATGTTTGTTATTCGAACCACTGCCCTGACGTCATATGGAACCCAAAAATACAGTGGTGCTAAACTCCTACCGTAGCCACAGCTGCCCTGGGGCACACTGACAGAAGCGAGGCAACCAGTCTGTGCCATCGGCCCCTCCCACCACCAACCACTCACACACACCAGACTCATTCTAAGAAAATGGTCTGTGGACAAACATTCCACAAAGAAAACATTGGGAATCTCGGCATCCATGTTTTCTTTTCTTCTCCCATCAACATCCATCAAGGCATCGTGTCATAATGTTAGCGTTAGCATTAGCACCTACCCTCTGTTTATCTGCTACCATTCACACAAAAAACCACCTAAATCACTCTGAAGACCTAATCATTCATATGGTTTGTTAGTAGCTCTGTAGAAAGACAGTTTACACTTGATATATGTATAATATATAATAGTCATCAATCTTTGGGGTAGAACAAGTTTAATTTTCATTCTATCTTACAACAATCTGCTTTGAACCAATTCAACAGGAAGCAATATGAGTAGAAAGCAAAAATGGGAACTACTTTTGCCACAACCTTTTAATCCAAATAATGATAGTGGTTTAATCTCATATCCTTTCCCCAAAGCCGGCCAGCAGGCAGAGCAGGCAGAGCAGGGTTAGCTGAGTTCAAGATTTTCTGCATGAATAAAAGCATGAAAACATCTTACATTTAGCGGCTCGCTCCCTCGACTAAAGCAACGAAGCAGAGCGGCTTTGTTTCCAACACAAACGGGATGTGTTGTCGTCTCACACTGAATTCTGAAGGCCACAATCATTGGGTTTTAATCAGAATCAGAATTATTTGTATTGCCATTGGAAGTAACAGGAAGTCGCAAAACTAGGAATTTGCTTTCGCTCAAGGTGCAATTATCAAACAAAAATCTTAGTAAAATGTCTTCTTTGGCGCATAATGTATTCTTCCTGATCCAAATATTCATGTTTGGATGAGAGTCACAGATTTCAGTCAAGAACATACTGATTTGGTCCAGAGGCAGCGGCGGTCACATCCTCATACGCTCGACAAACGAATGAGTGTGTTGCTTGTTCTGCTCGCCCTGGGTCATGATCGGCGTTTGCTCCAGAGCTGCAGAATGATGCGCTTCATGGATGTCTGCAGTGACAGATGGAGGTGAGGTGATCCCAGGACAGAGCGGCTGCTGAGGTCAGCCGCAGGATTAAACACAAGCCCATCACGGACTCAAGGACTTGCGTCTGTCTCTGCAATCAGTCTGAAGCTGCACTGGGCCTGACAGCGGAGGGCTGACAGCGGAGGGCTGACAGCGGAGGGCTGACAGCGGAGGCCCACGGGAGTCAGAGGGGGACACAACTAAGGGCTGAGATTCAAGATTCCACACCTGCCCTGGTGCCGGTTGCATCTCCTCCCTGGCTCTTCCTCAACAATGCACTAATAAGTTGTCTTTTGGTTTATGCACCCACATTCATACAGCGCCCTCACTGCACAACAAGCATTACCTGTACGCCACTGACTTCTACACAACACACCCCATACGGTACCTTTTCTGTATATATTAATATCTGTTCTTCCGTTTTCCAATTAAATATACTTTTGAACACTTTAATTCCACCTCGTCTCCCCTATTCTGATTGTGGATCAGAGCCAAGCCATAACACAAACTCGATTCTAATATTCAATTCAACCTATTTTTGTACAGCCTTAAGCTTAGCGTACATCGGACTGGCAACTGATTATATCCGTCGCATATGAGTTGCTGCCCCGCACACATCGACAATCTGACGAAAACGGGCAACTCCCAGTAGCAGACCAGTCTCGGGAATAACAGCGCGTACATCGACAGCAACTGGCCTCAACTACAGTGTGTTTTCTGACATAAACTGTTGCGGGCTCGCAACACACGCAATACACACATGTTGTCGGAGCGGCGCATGGAGCGCGCACATTGGGTCATATCTCAAAAACTGAGGACAACTAGTTGCCGAAAAGTAGAACACGGGCAACTGACTGAAACTGGAGACCGACTGATCATCTCCAGTTGTAAGAGCGCGCACATCGACCGATTTCGGCAACTGATCATCTCCCACCATCTCCTCTCAGTTGCCAAAAGCCGCCTTGCAACTAGTTGTCCCCAGTTTCTCTGTCGATGTACGCTAGGCTTTATATCACAGTTGCCTCTGGGTGGAGCAGAACAGGTCACAGCAGCAGAGGTGGAGTAGCCTCTGGGTGGAGCGGGACAGGTCACAGCAGCAGAGGTGGAGTAGCCTCTGGGTGGAGCAGAACAGGTCACAGCAGCAGAGGTGGAGTAGCCTCTGGGTGGAGCAGGACGGGTCACAGCAGCAGAGGTGGAGTAGCCTCAGGGTGGAGCAGGACGGGTCACAGCAGCAGAGGTGGAGCAGCCTCTGGGTGGAGCAGGACGGGTCACAGCAGCAGAGGTGGAGTAGCCTCTGGGTGGAGCAGGACGGGTCACAGCAGCAGAGGTGGAGTAGCCTCTGGGTGGAGCAGGACGGGTCACAGCAGCAGAGGTGGAGTAGCCTCAGGGTGGAGCAGGACGGGTCACAGCAGCAGAGGTGGAGCAGCCTCTGGGTGGAGCAGGACGGGTCACAGCAGCAGAGGTGGAGTAGCCTCTAATCGTCAATTGTAAATATTCTGTACTGTGTAATCTGTGGTTTTTATAATGATCCAGGCTCCTGTGGACTCAGCACCTGTAGGAGGATCAGTAGCTCTGACTGCCACCCCCCGGACTCAGAAATGGATTAAGGGGAAGAAAATGGATGTATGTAAATGTGGTGCATTGTTATGTCTTAGGGACCAGGTCTGCACGTTAGCCGTTAGCTATACGGCTATTCAGATTCAGATTCAGATTCATTTATTTGCCATTTGCAGTAAAACCACATTGGAAAAACTGTGCAAGACTACCCCCGTGTGCACCAGACGACACACACCAGAGCTCTTGCCACGGCGCCATCTTTACGGCGCCATGGCATCGTTTACCTGCACCAATGCTTTTTGTTCTGTCCCTATCAAATAAACATATAATAATCACGGTAGAACGAATTGGCCTCACCTCTGCTTTGAACAACAACATGAAGAAGGCCTCAGGTATCGCTCTCTTTGGCCTCCCACAGTACAGTGAGCTAATCTTGGGACTTTGTGGTTGAAACTTTACGGCGCAGTTGACTTATGGTTGTGAAACATAACTCGAGGTTTGCGATTCCTCATAAAAGGCAGCAGGACGTCCACTGGTCTCACTTCCTCTCATTGGTATTCGACTGTTGTCCCGACAATGAGGACGGACCGAAGCTTCTTGTGGAGGCTGTGTGTGCGGCTCTCGGCTCGCAGCCCGTGTCACATCAATAATTGACTGTTCTATGGGAGTAGGTCACGTTTCAGAACTGCGGCACTTCAGCTTCATATCAGCCAAAGAACGCCGCCAAATCACACACGGTATTTCACAATCCTCCACCAGAGCGAAAGGTACAATCCACTGTTTCTATGGCGATGATTCACAAAAGAGTAGGTATTAGCAGAGGCGCATTTCAGTCCCGACGAAGGCTGGGAACCCTTTAATGTTTCGTGTTCATGTTGTGCCCGCCATAGAAAAATGGACGCTATTTAGCAGTTGTGCTAATTCCAGCAGATTTGTGTTGACGGCGTTTGCGGAAACATTGATGAATATGTACTGTCGATAAATACATAAAGTAATGGTCTGAAATCTCCCTCAGTTTTACCGTCAATCTAAGTTTTTATTTTCACCCACTTCTTTTCAAACTTGTGCTCAGAATTATTTATGAGTAGTTTAACGTTTTGTCTGTATATACATGTTTGAAATAATAAAAAATATACAAAAGACCTATGAATAAAAAAAATAGGGGTTAAAAAAAACATGAAAAAAAATAAGGAAAAAAGGAAAAATACATTGTTTTCTTCAAAGAGTGAAAGATTAAAGGGTTAATACCTGGTACTAACACTGTATATAGGTGAGAATTTTTTTATTCATTTTTTCTTATCAGGTAAAAACAAACAAACAAACAAACAAGAATATGTGGAAAGATACTTATTTTATGGGTGTGTGTATGTGTTGTCTGTGTGTGTGTGTGTGTGTGTGTGTATGTATTGTATGTGTTGTGTGTGTGTATTGTGTGTATGTATGTGTGTGTTGTGTGTGTATGTGTTGTGTGTGTGTGTGTGTGTGTATGTATGTGTTGTGTGTGTGTGTGTGTATGTGTGGGTATGTGTTGTGTGTGTGTGTGTGTGTATGTATGTGTTGTGTGTGTGTGTGTGAATGTGTGTGTGTGTGCGTGTATGTGTTGTGTGTGTGTGTGTATGTATGTGTTGTGTGTGTGTGTGTATGTGTTGTGTGTGTGTGTGTGTATGTGTTGTGTGTGTGTGTGTATGTATTGTGTGTGTGTGTGTGCGGAACAGTACATTGTGCAACATTATCATTATGTTGAATACAATAACAAAAGTAGATTAATAATTTTAAAAAGGACAGATAATAAGCATAATACTGGAAAAATAGAATAAATGGTAAGTTTTAACCTATAGATAAGACATGGGATACATTTCTAGTTGCGGTGCTGCATAGAGAATGGACAGATATACCCAGACACAAACATACAGTATATACTTGTAATTATAGATCGGAAGGGTTTAAATTAAGGCTTGTTAGTGGCAGTAATAGTGGCTGCAAAGAAGAAGTGAAAATAATAAAAATAAATAATAATAATAATAATAGGTACAAGCTTGTTTTGTTCTATGTTGACTTGCAATGTCCCTGTCAAATAAATATATACATAAAAAATACTAATATGTGCTGGGTGATAAACGCTGCATCTGTGGCTTTACTCGCACATGTGTTTTCTTGACAAAATATTTTTTCACATTCAGACATTTAACTATTTCGTGTTAGAACTAGTTATTTTCGTGAAGGTTTGGGCCTTGGAAAATGGACACGCATAGGGCCGGGGCCGGACTGTGGTTGAAGGAAAGAATTACGGCAAGTGAGCAGCAGCAGCACGGAGCATGTTTGTCATCAGATGTTTGGGAAAGTTTCAGGCTCTTTGCGAAGTGGCACAGCTGCAGCACGACAGCATGAAAAGAGGAAATGCAGCTTTTTAAGGAATCATCAAAAAACGGCAGCTACAGGTAAAAGCACTAGCGTCGTAAAAATAGACCCAATGTTTGCAACGTACGCCCCTAAACATGTGTAAAGACGGAAAACGTGTCTAAAACCCGTGCAGGAACCGTCTCTCATAAAATAATGGCACACAGTAAGTCTAAGTTTTAATCTCCAAAATGCAGTGAGTAAGATTTATAGCATATCTGAGAATAGCAGTTCTTGTGACGTGTTTAGACAATGTTTTGAACCCAGTCATAGCTCCTTTATATTTAGTCGCAGAACGCTTAATTACACAGCACAAACTTCTCAGAGCCATGTGGAGGCCGTCGCACCAGTCTGCCACCTCAGCACCAGGCCTCAGCCAGTTCAACGGCTGCCTACAGTTTATGTCTATGTATTAGGATTTACAGCACAAATGTTGCCATGGTTGGTTCTATCAGTCTGTGGACAATCGCATCACACTAATGCCACCATTAGTGATTTACCGTAGAAAGGTGAATATCAACAGATGTAGTCACGTTTACGTCTGTCCGCTGTTGAAACTATAATGTGCCACCGCTGCTGCCTTCTGTGGGGCCTTTTCAACATGGCAGGCATTTGCGCATGTGTTAGCTGCACTAGCCTCATTCATGTAACGAGAGCCTTCTGAAGTCCACAGCAGCTAAACTAGACTGGTCCAAAAGAAATAAACTCCCCTCGGCAACAACAACATCTGGAATGTAGCGTTGGACCATGAGCCACTTTGGACCATCTTGTAAAGCCATACAAAAGCATTGGGTAATTCTCTTTCCGGGTACACCCCCACAGGCCTGGAGTGAGATTGCAGCATGTCAGCGCATGTGCTGGGTTTGCACCGCCAATTTAGCAAATTAGTTGTTGACCAATGATTTAATTGGACTGATAAATAATGGTCAAGAGGCAGACGCTCCAATTTTGCAGTGATTTCAATGCTTAGTTCAGAGTTCCTGAAGGTTCTTAAGAAGTCTTGAAATTATTTTACTCATTATTTTAGAAATAGTGCCTTTAAGCCTTGAATCTGGAATATCTGGGTCTTTTTTGTGCAGTATGGAACTTCTCTGATTCACATTTTGTCACCCACTAGTATTTTACTTTTATATTACATAACGTAGCATAAAGAAAGAGTGGCAGAAGTGGCACCCCACACATTTGCTCAAAAAGTAAATGAACAAGTAAAGAATTTATGTTTTATTTTTCCCGGTAGATTTGTGAAAAAGTGGAAGTCATTCATTTTCTCGGGTTGATCTGTGCCACCAAATAAT